AGTGGGGATGTGGTAGTGGTGGTGGTGTTGTGGGATGGTGGTGTGGTGGTGGTAGTGGTGGTTGTGGTGGTGTGGTGGTGGGTGGTTGTGGTGGTTTGGGGGTGGGGTTGGTGTGGTGGTGGGTGGTTTGGGAGTGGGGTGGTAGTGGTGGTAGGGGGGTGGGATAGTGGTAGTGGTGGTAGTGGGTGGTGGGTGAAGGTAGTGGAGGGGTGTGGGGTAGTGGTGGGTTTTGTTGGGGGGAATGGAGTGGTGGTTTTGGGAGTGGTGGTTGTGGTGTGGGGGTGGTGGTAGTGGTGTGGTATGTGGTAGTGGTGGTGGTAGTGGTGGTAGTGTAGTGGTGGGTGGTAGTGGTGAATTTTGGTTAGTGGTGGTGGTTGTGGTAGTGGTGGTATGGTGTGGTATGTGGTGTGGTGGTAGTGGTGGTGGTTTTGGGGGTGGTTTTGGTGGTGGGGTGGGGGTAGTGGTGGTGGTGTGGTGGGGGTTTGTTTTGGGAGTGGTGGGGTTGGTGGTGGTATTGTGGTATGGTGGTTGTGGTTTGGGGGAGGGGGGTAGTGGTGATGGTAGTGGTTGTGGTGGTGGTGGTGGTGGTGGTAGTGGTTGTGGTGGTGGTGGTAGTGGTTGTGGTGTTAGTGGTGGTGGTGTTAGTGGTGGTGGTGTTGGTGTTAGTGTTGGTGGTAGTGTTTGATGGTGTTAGTGATGGTGTTAGTGGTGGTGGTAGTGATGGTGGTGGTAGTGATGGCGGTGGTAGTGATGGGTGGTGGTAGTGATGGCGGTGGTAGTATGGTGGTGGTAGTGTGGTGGTAGTAATAATGGTAGTGGTGATGGTAGTGGAATTGGTGATGGTAGTTGGTGGTGGTGGTGATAGTGGTGATGGTAGTGGTAATGGTGATGGTAGTAGAATTGGTGGTGGTAGTGGAATTGGTGGTGGTATTAGTGGTGGTTGTAGTAGTGGTAGTGGAGGTGGTGGTCATTGTGGTAATAGTAATGGCGGTGCTGCTGATATTTACAATATCCACGAACATTTATTAATAAAGGTTTTCATAAACCTAAAATAAAACATTAAACAAGACAGAGCCTGACACCGAGTATAAGACTGAGAAGTTGTTGGTTTTACAGTACAATGAAAGTCTCTCTCACCTCCCACAACCCCTTAAATACTTTAATGTTAAAGGTATCCTTAAATACGACAGTACCGTGTAACAAAAATTAAATATTTTCCTAAGGAATCTGTACGTTGTGTATACTCTATCCCTTGAGAAGGTTGTAATACCTGTTACTTAGGACAAACTGGTCAGTCTCTCGAGACCGGAATTAAACAGTGTAAATATGCAATATCTAGTTGACAAGAATCCAGTTCTTTGTTCATCATGTAAGGGATACAGATCATTGTGTAGATTTTACTAATGCCAAAGAATTCCTTGTAATTCAACAGTTCAAGGAAATATTATGGAATCAACTTTTATCAAACTTGTTGCACAATATATTTAAAATTTGTATTCTGGAATGAATAAATCTGAGTTTTATAGTCCAAAATATTGTCCATAATATTAAAGGCAAAAATATATTTCACAAAAGTACAGTGTGGTCTTTGTCAGGCTAACAATGTAACTTGATGTTAAGATAAGATTTCGTTCGGATTTTTAGCCCCGGAGGGTTAGCCACCCAGGATAACCCAAGAAAGTCAGTGCGTCATCGAGGACTGTCTAACTTATTTCCATTGTGGTCCTTAATCTTGTCCCCCAGGATGCGACCCACACCAGTCGACTAACACCCAGGTACCTATTTGCTGCTAGGTGAACAGGACAACAGGTGTAAAGAAACGAGTCGAAATGTTTCCACCCGCCGGGAATCGAACCCGGGACCTCCGTGTGTGAAGCGGGAGCTTTAGCCACCAGACCACCGGACAAATGTATGCGTTTGTTAGATTTGTGCGGGACAGGTTTATGTGAGGTATTGTCACCGTCTTTGAATGAGGTGTCACTCAGGTTTAACATATAAAATTGCTTCTCTTGCCTCATCTTCCTATTCGTCTGAAGATGTAAGTACAGAAAGCGCTCAGTTCTATTTTCCCCTTCTCACTGTGTCAATTTTTTCTTTTTGCCTCACACATTTTTTTGTGATTTT